ACGTATCATGAGTTAAGAAAAACGCATTAATTTTCAGAGTATTTTGAATCTGCTTAGCCAGTCAGGCTAAAGCCTGCTGGCACAAAGGCTGCCACAACAGAGCATAAAATTCATTGGCAAATGATCTTTGCGAGTCACAGGAGCAAAGAAACGTCTCCCGCACCAGGCTTCAGACACTGCCCCCAGCTCTGTCTAGACAAAAAGATGACAAAAGAATTCCTGCCTGGCTCCACAATGTCAACAGAAAGTGGCTAAAAACCAAGAGAACTGACATTGCCAGGGAAGAAACTTGCCAGGAAGCTTCACTCTTTGGTCTTGTGAGAGCTGAGCTGAAGGGCCTGCACACGGGCAGCCAGCACCATCTGAGATGTTCTGCGGTGTGAGGAGCACCTCCTCGGGACTGAGAGATGGGGCAAGAGACCGAAGGGGAACTGGTACCCACTGGAGCAGCAGGAAGAGACATACAACACAAACGCGCACACTCTCATTCAGATGTATTAAGCCCCCAAATTCACAAGATAGAGCGAAAAACCTGGACACCACAAGGAAGGAGAAGCATGAACTCACACCTGGCACTCTGCAGCCCTGTATTATTTGATGTTATGATGCTTAGAAAAGTTGCCCAGAGCAGTGAGAGCAGTGTAGTTTGTAACAGACAGTAAGAGGCGTCTGGCATCGGAACTGCCCCATCTACAGCTGCGTTCCTCATGACCAACATGCCACCTTCGAACAAAGTACAAATTTGTTTTTCAGTAAGAGAGAGACTGAAGTCCGTCCAACCATTACTTTACTAATTAAATGGTAAAAATGTTCCATTTGCTAAGGAAATGTTTCAGATTACAGTGAGCCCAAATACAAATGCCACGGATTTATCCAGGCATAATCTTAGCAGGGTTCAGAGGTACCCTGAAGCAAAGTAAGCCCATCCTGCTGGAGACGAGACAGAGCCAGGAGGAACATTCACACAGAGTCAAGTCTCTCCCGCAACTAAGATTTAAAAATGCTAATGAAACATTGTGTCGTAGAAGTGGGATTAGAGAGCTAAAAAAATATTGTCAGAAAGAATTAGCTGGTGCATTATAATTGTAGTTAGCAGAATGCAGATTTTATGGCAACACGGTTCAGCTAAATCTAGGAATCCCCAGCTTTATTTTGACTGACTCAAAAGGCATTAATGCACACCTTGGTCTATCCTTCTATGTTGATCTTCTAGAATGCATTAATTAACAGCTTTTAACATTTCTTAATCTTGACCTTGGGAGACAGTGTGGAGGCAGCCTTGTAACAGCTAAAACATTGGTCCAGGGAGTACCTGCCAGCACAGCTCTGGTGCTGGAGAGGTGGGGGAAGAGGCAGCAGGAAAATTACTTTAGCTTGGTCACATAAAAGACTAATCCCGTTTCCTTACACTACAGGAGCAGCAAGGCTACACAGACCTACAAATGCAGCAGAACTCATATAGATCAATCTCTGCTGCCAGGCTCTGATTTGTCAGGCTTTTGATGTAGACAAAAGGAAATACTGAAAATACCTGGCAAAGCTGGCCAAATGCCACGTTGTCCACTGTTATTAGAGTTTTCACATTCATTTGCTCTTGCCTGCTGATTTTTCACTTGCTGCACTCAGTGATCACAGCCACCTGGCAGACATACATGACTGACTGCAAGGACAAGACCTTATCCCATCAATTTTAAATGTGCAGTGAAGACCCAGGACAGCTACCTTGCCTGCAGGGTTTCAGGAGACCACAGGGAAGGCTCTCGCAAAACAGACAAAGATTCCTGAGCAGCCCTGTCTCTAACCAGACATTTCTCAGTGCTAGGAGTAAAGCAAGCTGTGCAAGTCCCATGTCTGGCTACTCAAAGCAGTATCTAATTGTGCTGCCTAAGCTCTGATTTTAGAGTGAAGAAACAGCCAAACAACTAGGGAACCCTTTTCTGGAAACCAAGAGAGCTTTTATGAATGTCTCTGTACACTGTGTAAACTTAATTTTCCCACAGTTTAACATCTACTTAGGAAGTCTCTTGCACCCTTACCTAACACCAGCATGCAGTGATGCAAGGTGGATCCAGTCCTTAGCCCCCTGAACTAGCCACAAATCTATCTTCTACATATCATTTAATGATCAATCAGCAGCCCCACTGGCTACAGAGGAGATAGTTTTGTGCTTACAATTGCCATTGATCGTATGTGTTCAAGCTCACTACAGTAACTAGCTGGGACAGAAAGGCTTTCTGCATAAATCAAGATATTTCAGAGACGAAGGTAGTACTCATGCTTGAGATGCAGAGTGCACAAGGATGACACAAAGTAAAACTAAAAAAAAGTAAAACTGTAAGTAAAAATTTGTCAAAGATCAGCTTCAACACCAAAGTCACAGTACTGAAGGCCTGGTGATTTCAATATACTTAATTTAGTAGTCTCCCACTAGAGTTCCCAGATTTTCAAAAGCTTTTCCAAGGATTTCCACAAGAACACAAGGATGTGGTAGGCTGTGTAGACCTTCACAAGAACAGGTGTCCAGACCACGGTACAACAGAAGCAGATCAGTAGTTGTAAGAGGTAGTGCAAGAACCTTACATCAGCATTATATACAGATGGAAGATGTTATTTTAATTTAGTTTGGTCCCTATCCCAAATATGCATATGGTTCAAACCTGCTCAAAGGATCAGTCACCAGTTTGAACTGCTTTAAGGTGTAAGCACAACTGGTGCAGACCTAGAGCAGAGCTTTCCGTAGTCTAGTATGCATGCAAGCAGAATTGGCTGGAATACTTGCTTCAAAACCACATTACCAATCTGAACCAAAACACGAATGTAGGCACAGCCACAACCTTCATGGGAACCTGATGCTCTGAGAAGATTCTAGAGTTAATTTCTGATAGCAAAAAAATTAGATCCCAGCTCTACCCTGAACTGTTGAGTTTACCTGGCGTGGCTGGTTAACCTTTGCTCCTGAAGAAAGCAGCAATCGGATGACATCCAGATAGCCTCCTTGTGCTGCCAGGAAAATTGCAGAAGCTCCATCCTAAAGAACAAATATTTCCACCTTAGAGTGTCTTGAAATTATGCCATTTTTCCACACAAAACCAAACTGAACCAAGTTCTCATTCTTAAGCCATTATGCAGTGTAACAACAGAGATACAGCCACGCTCAAGAAATAATTACCAGAATCCAAAGTCTAGCTCATAACAAATTATGGTAACATTTTCATTCAGTATGTGCAAGTACTGGCTCCCATCTGTGCCAGGAATTACTGTGCCACATTTTGTAGAGGAGACTTCACCTGTAATATAATAATGTAAAAGCAGCACATGCAAGACATTATCTTATAGCCCTATCAGAAATCAGCATTTTTCCGCAAAAACCTTGTGAAAGAATAAATCATGAACGAATATGGGATTTTATTTTTTCTCAACATGCCTTTCATGTGCAGATGTTCTCAGAATTTGGCTTCACATTTCCTTCTTCTGTAGGAAAAAATGTAAAAATCATATTTCATTAAGGGGTTTTTTTTTTATGAAACATAATCTGTCTAACCAACTAGAAGTGGAAATCTGCATTGAGGGTGGGACAGGTGTTTGCACATCCTATATCCACAGCACTCAGAGCATGCTAGGGCAAGGTTTCCCAGGAGGTAAGACCTTTATAGTTTAAAGAGACATGAATGAACTCCTTCACTGTATCTCAGATGTGCAAGTACACATCTTATGCCAGCTCATGCATATACTTAGGACAAAATACAGGGCATTTTAATGGAAGCCTATTGTTGACCTTCCTGCCATATCACTATGTTGGGACCAAATGCTGTTGTCTGGTGAGAGATGCTGCGTAGCTACTCCCCTTCCTGCAAAACTCAGCACAGACTTAATGAAGCATGAGCTGAATATAGCGCCCCAGGGACTGACTCTAGAACGTTTGACCTTCATTTCAAGACAAATGTCTGTTAAACAAGAGAGGTGTCTGCTGGCACTACAAATGCACACCCCTGGGCCCTCTGAGGGGCTGTTTTCTTTGGTTGCTATGCAAGTACACGAAATAAGGTGATGGTATCAGGTCATTTGCAGGCTTCCTCCAGAGACATTTAGAAAGTAAACAAGGTTATGTAATATTAAGAGAGCTCTTTATTGTACCATCAGTCAAGATGGAGAACCTTGTGTTGCCTATCACCCAACCATTTCAAAACGTATTCGGGTTTTGTAGTTGATTTGAATTGATATTGTAATGAGAAAGCTGTTTTGAGGGTGTAACATATTTCTGCAAGAAACATAGTTTAGTTATGGTATTCTCTTGTCTTCTCCACCCTTCATGTGAGCCAATTTAAAATTGCGACATGTATCTTGATGGTTTGGGAAGGACTACCAAAACGAATGCTCAAAACCCCTTTCATTTGGCTACCTGCCAGATACCACTTTGCAAATGCAGCTCGACAATGTCCCATAAAAGGAGCCAGGCTAACGTTTGTTTTCAAAAGATTGTGTTCATATTTTATCAAATGGCTATTTCTGACCAATTTTACCCAACAGCTGTGAGCAATAAAAATAGGTCTCTAAATCCAACTGCAAATATTGCTCATTTCCAGGTGAGACAACAAGGAAGTTTCTACTGCCTTCACTTCTAGGTAAGTGTCTGCAGGTGTGGCAGTATGGCTATTTTTAAACCAAGTGGTAACCCATGGGATAATCGTGCAGCGGTGTGAATCACTGCCCTCAGATTTAGAAAAGCAATTGCTATTTGCACAGCAGCAAGGTTGGGATACCCTTCTTTACAAATGCGGGGTGAGGGCAGCACAGAGGTGGGGATCCCCTCTGTGACCTGTTCACAGCCTTGAACACACTGGTGGCCTCTGTGGTCGTGGGAGCTGAGTGTGACAGCATCCTGCAGATCTCATCCCCATGGAAATGGCTAAAAATGAGTCGTCTATCCCTGGGGAATAACTTCCTTTCTGTCAGTCTTGAGTGCCCTGG